CTTCCACGGCCAGTGCATGCTCCGAAACGCGTCGCAGTGCACCCTGGGATCTGACGTCATCACGGCTCCAACGCCCACCGCTACGTTTCCAGCGTGCGTTCCATCCGGCTTTGAGGGAGGACGTGCATGAAGGCTGGCCTCACCGCTGTTCCCCCTCCAGCCACCACGCTGTTCCAGCCAAGAGCTGACCTCCCCACATCGCAGAGAGATGACGGCTCTTCACCCGGGTTACCACCCCACCGTTAACTATTGTTAACCACGGTTTTTATGCTTATGATTACTTCACACATGTGAGTGTTTCTACATTAGACTTGAATTAAAAGACTTATTGCACTTAGAGGCGCTTCTCTCCTTTTTCTCATCTACACTTCTAAAGTGACTGCATTCAGTACAATTACCAATTAAATAATGTAAGCAAACTTTTAATCCAGAAGAGAGTATATATCTACAATGTCCAGATGGATGCCTTCAGAGCCTCTGTAAATACACTCCATGGCACTCATGCTCCATAGTATTCATAAAGGAAAGAACAGACCCATATAGTGTAACACTGTATGATAATACATAAACACACTTTAATAGTTCCTCTTATATTTTAAAAGCATAAAAACCACATTATTCCCATGACTCCAACCTTGAGCAGCTTCAGGAATGCAAGGCAGTGTTTTTCCCACACTAAAGATGGCCGCTCTGCTACTTCCAGTCCTCTGGGTAACGTCCGAGTCAAGTCCCTTAAAGGGTACAGGGAACCTAGAGCAACTTATTTCTTATGATAATCATGGAAACATGTTTCCTAGTGACAATTTAGGTGACAATTAATGACTAAACCAATCAAACAAATTAAATGTATTTTGATTTTAAGTAATAACTAGAAACACACAAAGAAACCTCACTGGGGGTGTGTATTTGGCATTTTAGTCTTGCTTTTTCAAGCACCTGTGGATAGTTGTAGGTAGATTAATAACCGAGGCTAACCTTTGGTTCACACCTATGCGTTTTCTGCAGCGTTTTGCAGAAATGCAGTACAGTCCATTTAACATGATTTCCTATGGGACAGGTTCACATCTTCGCGGTTTCACCCGGTGCGTTTTTGGAAAGGGTCAGGGACTTGAACGCAAAATATTACATTTTTGGTTTCTATAGACTTCAATGGGAACTCTGCATAAAAGCGTGTATTGCATTTTTGCTGCATTTTTATTGCTTTTTTATTGTGTTTGCATTTAAAATCTACCTAGCAACAAGAAAAAAAAAAAAATGCATCAAAAACACAAGTGCAAAAATGCAAAACGCAATGTAGAAATGCCTCAAACGCAACCTGCATAGGTGTGAACCTAGACTAAGATGGAAGCAGAGTCTGTTGAAGGTGGTCACAAGCTCAGCTGCAGCAAAAGTAACATACAACTTTCTTATTTTTCTTTATTTGATTACTAAGATTTAGGATCTCCGGAGTACACTGCACATAAGCTATCAGCATTTTTCTTAAAACTAGGCTTTCAAGTTTTTTTTTTTTTTTTTTTGAAAACTACACATGATTGTGGAAGGCGGTGCAATCTAAAACAGTGCCCTGAGGATCAGAGGTAAAGACTTGTTAGTAAGTTGAAAAGGCGCAGTAATCAAATTATACCCAATCAGGACTCAGTAATCAATTATACCCAATCAGGACAGTGAAAGTGGTACAAAAGGCTACACGTTTTTAAACAAAAAGAGGTATTGCTTATCTGCTCTGTATTGCACAGAAATATTGCATTCCTCCTCTTTTGACAATCCTTCAATGACATTGTCAGCTTTTCCCTACTTCAAGTGCCTTCTGTAGCAAGCCAGGTGCTAAGGAGGTACCTGTGCATGCACCCTCCCGAGCCAGCCAGTGTGTACCCATGGACACACACAGTGCCAGTAAGCCAACCCCCAATTCTTCCTGATAGGAGCCTTTGGCTTATCTGCCCTCAGTTTCCCCTGTGAGACCAAGAAATGACAGTGCTGGAGCAGTGACATGGAGCCAGGTATATATACAGGAAGAGGGGAGGCAGGACAGGTGGTGGGAGGTTTTTTACCTTATGCAGCGAATGCAATACTTTACACACAATAAATACTTTAAATGGTAATTGCGTGGTCATGCAACTCTGTACCCAAACTAAATTTATATAATTTTTTTGTACACAAATAGAGCTTTTTTTTTGGTGGTATTTGATCATCACTGGGTTTCTAATTTTTTTATCATGTAAGCAAAAAAAAAGAAAATTTTGAAAAAAAAAAAACCCAGAACAATATATTTTACATTATGCTATAAAACATATCCAAAAGAAAAATAAAACGTCATAATTTTAGGCCAAAATGTATTCTGCTACAACTTCAGTAAAAAAAAAAAATCCCAAAAAGTATATATAGATTGGTTTGCATGAAAGTCATAGCATCTACCAACTATGGTATATACAGTATATATATACTATATATATATATAGTATATATGAATTTTTATTTATTTATTTTTTTATACTAGTAATGGTGGTGATCAGCGACTAAGGGCTCATTCATTCACACCATGGTGAAGAAACATAAATTTTTCTGCATGCGTTCTGCAAGGGCACAATTAAATCAATTGTTCTCTATATGCCCTGTTCACACCACAACAGCAGCATCACTTGCAGATATTTTATGTGCAGGGATTTGCAATGTGTATAAAATTCTTCGAAGCACGCATAAAAACTGATGTAAAACTGATGTCTCTGCAAGTGAAATCTGCGTGTCAGTTTCCATCAGTTTTTCTGTACATATGGTAGGAACAAGGCCTAATAGTGGGACTGTGATATTGGGCAGGAACTGGCTGACACTGACATCACCAGTGACACTAATACAGTGATCAGTGATACACTGTCACACTACTAATGATACTGGCTGGGAAGAAGTAAACATCTCAGAGTAATCAAGGGGTTGAGTGTGTGCCTATGGGTGTATTAAGTGCAGTTTTTTACTAAAAATCTCTTTGTTACTTCTTCCTGCTTTGCTTGGAGAAGAAACAAAAAGATTGTTCCCTCTGTGATTGTCCACACAGGGATCTGGGCTGTGAGTGGAGCAAGGGCGGACTGACAACTCATGGGGCCCCCGGGCAATAGGGGATCATGGGGCCCCTGTGTCCTTGCCCAAACTCAAAAAAGCCTATGAAAAAGGTACCAGGGGCATCTCATGGGGCCCCCTACTGACCTTGGGCCCTTGGGCAGTGCCCGAGTTTCCAAATGGTCAGTCCACCCCTGGAGTGGACACAGCTGAACAGTAGGTCCCCATGTGAATCATTGTTCATGACATGCTGACAAAATCAGGTACAAGCTCCGTACCCAGAAAGGGCCAGCAGCGTACAGCACATTACATTGTGGGCGGGTGGTCCAGAAGTGGTTAAGATAAAAAAACATTTAGACTTTAGAACTACTTTATTGAAGTTTAGACCCATGTGATGTGTAATCTGGTTGTAGCCAGCTTTGCACTTGACCGTTTGTATTGTTACGCTGAATAAAATAGACAATGTAAATACTGTGTGCTGCCATTACCCCATGGTAAAGAGAATGGCGTCTGAGGAACATAGGGTAGATACAGGCCTGGCACTAATTCTAATTTGCATGATTAATTCTGATGTAATAAATGTAAAAACATCCAAAATTTTATATACAAAGGGACAGACCTGTTCTTTATTTGGACTATGTTACATTTCCCTCAAAGCAGGAAAGTCAAATTATTCTCAGCTGGAATATTACAATAGTTCTGAATTTTCTGTATTTTAATTGTGAGCATGCCTGCACATCAGCCACAATACCAAGTCCACAGATAATGCTTATTATTTTAGGACTTATTTAGGAGTCATTCCAAAACTATGCCTTTTTTCCAAATCATCGAGCTGTTTGATTGGATGGTTTAGAGTGAAAAGGTTTAATTGTGATTAAGCAGGCCATACAAACTGTCTGTTAGTGCGGTGATAAGATAGGGGGGCCAAAGAAAACATTTTATTCTGAATGCACAGTAAAACCAGCTCTGTTATTTCAGCACAGTCTCAAATTAAGAATGAAATCTTTTGAAGGAATTCAAAACAAGAGCTCGCAGATTGTGGAGGAAGGCAAATAGTAGAAATGAAAAAAAAAAGACACAAAGGTTTTTATTGCTCCAGAAACCCAACAGCCAAAAGAAAGAGGTAAAGGATTTTATCTGGCATTTAAACAACTATAGATAATGAAATAAGGGCACCATATGAGTTCATTCACTTCTTCAACCTTTCTTCTTGTCACGACTGCAATTTAAGCATATATATATATATATATATATATACATACATACATACACACACTATATTGCCAAAAGTATTGGGACTCCTGTCTTTACACGCACATGAACTTTGATGCATCCCAGTCTAGTCCATAGGGTTCAATATTGAGTTGGCACATCCTTTGCAGCTATAACAGCTTCAACTCTTCTGGGAAGGCTGTCCACAAGGTTTAGGAGTGTGTCTATGGGAATATTTGACCATTCTTCCAAAAGCGCATTTGTGAGGTCAGGCACTTAAGCCGGATGAGAAGGCCTTGATCACAGTCTCTGCTCTAATTCATCCCAACGTTTTCTATTGGGTTGAGGTCAGGATTCTGTGCAGGCCAGTCAAGTTCTTCTACCCCAAACTCGCTCATCCATGTCTTTATGGACCTTGCTTTGTGCACTGGTGCGCAGTCATGTTGGAACAAGAAGGGACCATCCCCAAGCTGTTCCCAGTTAGGAGCATGAAATTGTCCAAAATGTCTTGGTATGCTGACACCTTAAGAGTTCCCTTCACTGGAACTAAAGGGCCCCAAACCCAACCCCTGAAACACAAACCCACACCACAATCCCCCCCCACCAACACTTTACACTTGACACAATGCAGTCAGATAAGTATCATTCTCCTGGCAACCGCCAAACCCAGACACGTCAATCGGATTGCCAGACAGAGGAGCATGATTCATCACTCCAGAGAACATGTCTCCACTGCTCTAGAGTCCAGTAGTGGTGTGCTTTACACCACTACATCTGACGCTTTGCATTGCACTTGGTGATGTAAGGATTGGATGCAGTTGCTCGGCCATGGAAACCCATTCCATGAAGCTCTCTAAACATTGTTGTTGTGCTAATATGAAGGCCACATGAAGTGTGGAGGTCTTTAGCTATTGACTCTACAGACAGTTGGAGACTTCTGCGCACTGTGCGCTTCGGCATGCACTGACCCTGCTCTGTCATTTTATGTGGCCTACCACTTGGTGGCTGAGTTGCTGTTGTTACAAGTTGCTTCCACTTTGTTATAATACCACTAACAGCTGACCGTGGAATATTTAGTAGCAAGGAAATTTCACGGATGGATTTATTGCAAAGGTGGCAACTAGAGATGAGCAAATCGAACCTGGCGAAGTGGAATTCGTTTCGAATATTAGGAAAAATTTGCGCCGAATCCGAATATATTAGCAAACTTCAGATGCGCGAATCGAATTTTCCCCGATCGGCCGATTTTCATCCCTTCTACAGCCGGCAAAAAGTGTCCCTGCAGAGAGCTCCGCTATTTCTGACAGTTCTCTGACAGTTCCTTCACATTTACAGCAGTTGAAACATTGTATCTATTTGTTTCCATTTAGGATACAGATGTTTTTATTCGGAAACAAATAGATACAATGTTTCAACCGCTGTAAATGTGAAGGAACTGTCAGAGAACTGTCAGAAATAGCGGAGCTCTCTGCAGATACACTTTTTGCTGCACTGGAATTCTTCTTCATCCTCATCCTACTTCTTCTTCTTCTTCTTCTTCATCCTCATCCTACTTCTTCTTCTTCTTCATCCTCATCCTTCTTCTTCTTCTTCTTTTCTTCTTCATACCTTCTTCTCCTCTCTTCTTCTTTCTTCTCCTCATCATCCTTCTTCTTCTTCTTCATCCTCATCTACTTCTTCTTCTTCTTTCATCCTCATCCTTCTCCTTCTTCTTCTTCATTCTTCATCCTCATTCTACTTCTTCTTCTTCTTCTCATCACCTACTTCTTCTTCTTCTTCTTCATCCTCATCCTACTTCTTCATTCTTCATCCTCATCCTACTTCTTCTTCTTCTTTTTCTTCTTCATCCTTCATACTACTTCTTCTTCTTCTTCTTCTTCTTCATCCTCATCCTACTTTTCTTCCTTCTTCTTCTTCATCCTCATCCTACTTCTTCTTTCTTCTTCTTCATCCTCATCCTACTTCTTCTTCTTCTTCTTCTTCTTCATCCTCATCCTACTTCTTCTTCTTCTTCTTCATCCTCTCCTACTTCTTCTTCTTCATCTTCTTCTCTCCTACCTACTTCTTCTTCTTCATCCTCATCCTCTTCTTCTTCTTCTCTTCTTCCTCATCCTCTTCTTCTTCTTCTTCTTCTTCCTACTTCTTCTTCTTCATTCTACATCATCCTTCTTCTTCATCCTCATCCTACTTCTTCTTCTTCATCCTCATCCTACTCTTCTTCTTCTTCATTCCTCATCCTACTTCTTCTTCTTCTTCATCCTCATCCTACATCTTCTTCTTCTTTCATCTTCCATCCCTTCTTCTTCTTCTTCATCCTTCTTCTCATTACTTCTCTTCTTCTTCATCCTACTTCTCTTCTTCTTCTTCTTCTTCTTCTTCTTCTTCATCTCCTTCTTCTTCTTCTTCTTCATCCTCATCCTACTTCTTCTTCTTCTTCATCATCCTCTCCTTCCCTTCTTCTCTTCTTCATCCTCATCCTACTTCTTCTTCATCCTCATCCTACTTCTTCTTCTTCTTTCTTCATCCTCATCCTACTTCTTCTTCTTCTCATCCTCATCTTCTCTTCTTCTTCTTTCTTCTTCTTCTTCTTCTTCAATCCTCACTTCTTCTTCTTCTTCTTCTTCTTCATCCTCATCCTACTTCTTCATTCTTCTTCTTCATCCTCATCCTACTTCTTCTTCTTCTTCATCATCCTCATCCTACTTCCTTCTTCTTTCTTCATCATCCTCATCCTACTTCTTCTTCTTCCTTTCTTCTTCTTCCTCATCCTACTTCTTCTTCTTCTTCTTCATTTTCATCCTACTTCTTCTTCTTCATCCTCATCCTACTTCTTCTTCTTCTTCTTCTTCTTCTTCTCATCCTCACTTCTTCTTCTTCTTCTTCTCTCATCCTATCCTACTTCTTCTTCTTCTTTCATCCTCATCCTACTTCTTCTTCTTCATCCTCATCCTCATCCTACTTCTTCTTCTTCTTCTTCTTCATCCTCATCCTACCTTCTTCTTCTTCTTCTTCTTCTTTCATCCTCATCCTACTTCTTCTTCTTCTTCTTCTTCATCCTCATCCTACTTCTTCTTCTTCTTCTTCATCCTTCTTCTTCTTCTTCTTCATCCTCATCCTACTTCTTCTTCTTCTTCATCCTCTTCCTACTTCTTCTTCTTCATCCTCATCCTACTTCTGCTTCTTCTTCATCCTCATCCTACTTCTTCTTCTTCTTCTTCTTCATCCTCATCCTACTTCTTTCTTCATCCTCATCATCCTACTTCTTCTTCTTCATCCTCATCCTACTTCTTCTTCTTCTTCATCCTCATCCTACTTCTTCTTCTTCTTCATCCTCATACTTCTTCTTCTTCTTCTTCATCCTACTTCTTCTTCTTCATCCTCATCCTACTTTTCTTCTTCTTCTTCATCCTCATCCTCTTCTTCTTCTTCTTCTTCTTCTCTTCTTCTTCTTCATCCTTCATCCTTCTTCTTCTTCTTCTTCTTCTTCTCATCCTACTTCTACTTCTTCTTCTTCTTCCTCATCCTTCTTCTTTCATCCTTCCTCTTCTTCTTCTTCATCCTCATCCTACTTCTTCTTCTTCTGCATCCTCATCCTACTTCTTCTTCTTCTTCATCCTCATCCTACTTCTTCTTCTTCTTCTTCCTCATCCTACTTCTTCTTCTTCTTCTTCCTCATCCTACTTCTTCTTCTTCTTCATCCTCTTTTTCCTACTTCTTCTTCTTCTTCTTCTTCTTCATCCTCATCCTACTTCTTCTTCTTCTTCTTCTTCATCCTCATCATACTACTTCTTCTTCTTCTTCTTCATCCTCATCCTACTTCTTCTTCTTCTTCATCCTCATCCTACTTCTTCTTCTTCTTCTTCATCCTCATCCTACATCTTCTTCTTCTTCTTCTTCTTGCCATGGGCCCCTGTACCGCCTCCTCATGCTTCTGCCAGGTCCAGAGTGTGTCATGGGTCCCTGTACGGCCTCCCATTGCTGCTGTCTCCATCGCCACACTCTGCCATGTGCCACTTTCAGGTCTCCTCACACTGCTGGTGGGTTCCATTTTGTCATAGGGTGCTGTATGGCCTCCCATTGCTGCTGCCTCCACCGCCACACTGTGGCTCCACACTCTGGTTTTGGCCCCGTGACTGCCCAAATGAGTGAAGTGTGCGGTGATTCTAAGATCGACGGCACTCATCTGCATGTCATACTGCCTGACAGTATTATTTCTCTTCCCCAGCAGACTCCAAGGGCATTTAAATTAAAGGTACAGTGTTCTGCACTAATATAAAGGCTCTCTGAAGCCTAGAAACCCTTTTTATAAGTTAAATTCGCAGCGAATAAATTCGCATCAAATCAAATTTATTCCACAAATTCGGCGAATCAGCCGAATCGAATTTTTGAATAATTCGCTCATCTCTAGTGGCAACCTATCACAGTACCACACTTGAATTCACAGAGCTCCTGAGAGATTCTTTCACAAATGTTTGTAGAAGCAGTTTGCATGCCTAGGTGCTTGATTTTATATACCTGTGGCCATGGAGGTGACTGGAACACCTGAACCCAATGATTTGGAGGGGTGTGTCCCAATACTTTTGGCAATATAGTGTGTATGTATATACACATACATACACACTGCTCAAAAAAATTAAAGGAACGCTTTGACAACACATTAGATCACAACGGGGAAAAATATCATGCTGGATATCTATACTGATATGGACTGGGTAATGTGTTAGGAACGTAAGGATGCCCCATCGTTTGATGGAAATGAAAATTATTAACCTACAGAGAACTGAATTCAAAGACATCCCAAAAATCAAAGTGAGAAAATGATGCAGCAGGCTAGTCCATTTTGCTGAAATTTCATTGCAGCAACTCAAAATGGTACTCAGTAGTTTATATGGCCCCCATGTGCTTGTATGCATGCCTGACAATGTCAGCATGCTCCTAATGAGATGACGGATGGTGTCCTGGGATATTTCCTCCCAGATCTGGACCACGGCATCACTGAGCTCCTGGACAGTCTGAGATGCAACCTGGCAGCATCAAATGGATCGAAACATGATATCCCAGAGCATGAGGGCCATTCAATGGTATCAATTCCTTCATCCTCCAAGAACTTCCTGCATACTCTCGCCACATGAGGCCGGGCATTGTCATGCACCAGGAGAAAACCAGGACCCGTTGCACCAGCATAGGGTCTGACAATGGGTCCAAGGATTTCATCTCGATACCTAATGGCAGTAAGGGTGCCATTGTCTAGCCTGTAGAGGTCTGTGCATCACTCCATGGATATGCCTCCCCAGACCATCACTGACCCACCATCAAAACGGTCATGCTGAACGATGTTAAAGGCAGCATAATGTTCTCCATGGCTTCTCCAGACCCTTTCACAGCTGTCACATGTGCTCAGGGTGAACCTGCTCCCGTCTTTAAAAGCACAGGGTACCAGTGGCGGACCTGCCAATTCTGATGTTCAATGGCAAGTGCCAATTGAGCTCTATGGTGCCGGGCTGTGCACACAGGGCCCACTAGAGGACATCGGGCCCTCAGGCCACCCTCATGAAGTCTGTTTCTGATTGTTTTGTCAGAGACATTTACACCAGTGGCCTGCTGAAGGTCATTTTGTAGGGCTCTGGGCGTGCTCATCCTGTTCCTCCTTGCACAAGCAGATACCAGTCCTTCTGATGGGTGAAGGACCTTCTACAGCCCTGTCCAGCTCTCCTAGAATAACTGCCTGTCTCCTGGAATCTCCTCCATGCTCTTGAGACTGTGCTGGGAGACACAGCAAACCTTCTGACAATGTCACGTATTCATGTGCCATCCTGGAGGAGTTGGACTGCCTGCGCAACCTCTGTAGGGTCCAGGTATTGCCTCATGCTACCAGTAGTGACACTGACCCTAGAAAAGATGAATAGGGAAAAAAATATCAGTGGCCTCCACCTGTAAAACCATTCCTGTTTTGGGAATCATGTCGTTGATGCCCATCTAGTGCACCTGTTGTTAATTTCATTAAGCAGCTGACACTAATTAACAACCCCCTTTGCTACTTAACTGACCAGATCAATGTCCCAGGAGTTTAATTGACTTGATGCTATACTCTGATTAAAAAGTGTTCCTTTAATTTTTTTGAGCAGTGTGTGTGTGTATATATATATATATATATATATATATATATCTGGGTGTTCAGAAAAAAACAGTCAGGGAGCATAAAGTCAACATGCCGTGAGTCACTGACAGTCTGTCACACAGTATCACGACTTGGGAAACAATAGTATGTATTAGGCTATAATTAGATTGGAGTGATTAAAGAATCTGTGCCCCTTTATATCAGACGTTCCTATCAGAGTCCCCCTTTACATCAGGAGTCCCTCTTTACATAATGAATACTCATAAGAGCCCCCTTTACATCAGGTTCCCATCACAGTGCCCCCTTACATCAGGGTCTCCATCAGAGTGCCCCCTTATATCAGGGTCCCTATCAGAGTGCCTCCTTACATCAGGGTCCCCATCAGAGTGCCCCCTTACATCAGGGTCCCCATCACAGTGCCCCCTTACATCAGATGTCCCCATCACAGTGCCCCCTTAAATGGATTCTCTCCATCAGTGTTTCTCCTTACATGAATGGGAAGCAAAAAAAACTTCAGAAGCTACACCAAGAGCAGACCTTTTTGGATACAACCTAAACATAAAAGCAACCCAACATCTATACCTCCTACTATCAGTGACCTGCAATCCAATCCGGAATCCCAAAGTATCCCTTGTGTAAGTGCTGACCTGACTGAAAATGTAGATATAACAGAGGAACTTGGAATCATCAATTTGTCAAATCATAAACTTTCTGAACCAGAATTAACCATCCTCTCCAAAGGCCTTACATTGTGCCCAACCACCAAATTGGATCATTTACAATTATTGTCAGATTTGGAGGATTTCTTCAGGAGATTAAGGCTCAAAGAATATTTCCACAGTAATGAAAGGAATCCTAGGACAATGGAGTGCTACACAAAGAAAAAAGAACAGCTGCTTCACACCTCCACAAGGACACAACCCCAAACTGGACACCTATATTGATAGCTTCAGACTGCGAGCTACATCCCTGATATCCACCCAGCAAAAGAAAATTCTGTGCAATCTTTCACCACTAGAGCGAAGGGCTATACACGATTTGCGCAATAATCAGGCCATCACTATCAAACCAGCGGATAAAGGGGGAGCAGTTGTTGTGATGGATACAAATACATACAAGAAGGCCAGAGGCAGCTGGAAAATGCCATCTACTATAAAAAACTGGATTATGATCCGACCCAGGTCTTTACAAAGCAATTAAAAGGTCTCATTAAAACACTTCCAGCCCACCTACATTCAGAACTTACAAATGCGATTCCGGATCATCCACAAATCGGGGACTTCTACATGCTGCCCAAAATCCACAAGCCAGTAAATAGAGGCAGACCCATCATAACAGGTATGAACACACTTACCAAACAAATCTCAGGCTTTGTAGAAAATTTTTTAAAACCGTTAGTCAAGAATACTGCTAGTTTCCTGCAAGACACAACTGACTTTCTGAACAAGATCAACAACATACAGCAATTACCATATAATACACTTCTAGTGACTATGGATGTAGTATCCCTGTATAGTAATATCCCTCACAAGGATGGATAGGCTGTATGTCACAGAAACCACAAATACACTGCTGAGGATGTTACACAGCTCATTGAATTCATACTTACACACAACTACTTTGCTTTCAATAAAGACATCTATCTTCAATGTATGGGTAATGCGTGGGGAACTAAAATGGCACCCCAATATGCCAATGTATTTATGGCTGACCTGGAAGAAAAATTCCTGAACAGCATGGAACAAAAACCATACAGATACTATCGCTATATTGATGATATTTTCATCATAAGGACAGAAGGTGAAGAAAACCTAAAACAATTTTACTCATTGATCAACACTTTTCCTCCATCAATCAAACTAAAAATGGAATACCCAAACACACACGTCAACGTCCTAGATACCACAGTATACATCAGGGATGATACGCTTCACACCTCAATATACAGGAAACCCACTGACAAATGCAACTACCTCCACAGTTCTAGCTTCCACCCCCAACACACGAAACGTGCCATCATACACAGTCAGGCCATTAGATACCACCGAATATGTTCTGACCCAAGAGACAGAGATACACATCTTGGGACACTAGCAGACTCCTTCCATAAGAAAGGTTACAAGGACAAAACTATCAACACCAGCATAAACACAGCCTTGAGGGCCCGAAGGGAAAATCTACTTCAGTACAAAGAGAAAAAAACAACCGTGTACCTCTAGTAACCACATACAACCCAGCAAGGAATAAGAAAAATAATCAAATATTTACAACCCATCATAACAGAGGATGGAACTCTGAAAGAAATATTCCAGCAACCCCCAATACTGGCTTTCAGACAACCCCCCAACCTCAGAAATAAACTAATCAGTAGGAAACTTTTTTCTGATCAAGATGTCACTAACAATGGAAGCAAACCCTGCAATAAAAAACACTGCAAACTATGCAACCAAATCAATCCATCAAAAAGTGTCAGACACTCAAAAGGGATCTTCAATATCTCCGGATCATACAGCTGCACCTCCAGTAATGTTGTGTACCTTATCCAGTGCAGAAAATGTAGCAAAGGATCTTATGTTGGCGAAACAGGACAGAAGTTGCAAACAAGGATGAATTTGCACAGACATACCATCAAGGAACATAAAGAAGATGGCTTTTGCACACCTGTGGGACACCATTTCGCACAACCAGACCACACTATGGAAGACCTCAATATTTTAGTTCTTAAAGGAAATTTCAAATCTATTCAGGAAAGGAAAACCTTTGAACTGAGAATGATAATTCTATTTGACACAAGAGATAAGGGCCTTAATTTGGACATGGGATTCCTCACTCATTATCCAACAGTTTTATGACCCCTCTGTGAGTGTTGTCCCCCCCCCCCCAGTCTTTGCTTTTGCTGTTTCTTATCTCTAGTCTAATCCTAGTCTTTTAACCATTGCTGTGTACATCTGTTTGTGTGTGTTTCTTTCTGGTTTTTTTTTCCCTCCCCCTTTCAACATATCTTCTAACATTCTGCTAAAACTTTGTAGTAGTGCTGCCTGGACCTTGAAGAAGGGGACATACCCCGAAAGCTTGTCCTCAAAATTGTATGTTAGTGCAAATAAAAAAAGTATCACGTCAGTACTCAATTGTTTCCTTACATGAAGTAACTGCATCAGACTGGCTCATAAATTAGTGGATGCACTCTGAGAGACCTAGGATGGCACAACTAAAATCCGGAGGGGCATAGCTTACCCACTCTAATCTTGGCCCTGGGATGAATGATGTTGGGAGTAGTGTAGTCAATATTGCTTTGGAAATAAGGGTGTTCTGTTCTCAACACACATTTCCCTGTATGAGACTCGACAGGAAGCTAAACTCTCCTATTCTGCAATAAGCAAGACTGAATGTAATC